TTGCATGAATCATGTCAATTTGAATCAAATTTTGTACCACATAACTAAGAACTACAATTTAGCCAGGTTTGATTGCAATCGGTACTGTGATTTTGGCATCGTAAAAAAAGACACGGACAAATAAAATTTTCAAAACTTGTGTAATTGAAATCAATACAAATATCGAACATTAAGGAAAATTCCTTCGATCCAACTGGTCTCAAATCAGCGAACTCGCCATACCGTAGCTGAGTAATAGTGTAATTTTACAAAAATAATGGAATACAATGACATGACACCATTGACTTACAAATAAATGGACGACGGGTCTAATACAAAAACCACGAAAAAAATGTCCCAAGTCAACCTATTTAAACGTAGTGACATGTAAAGGAATATGAAAAAGCTAAAATGTTGAATTTAAATTGTGATGTCATTGCAGTACTGTCTAATTTTGCTTGCTTCGCTGTCAGTCGAACAAACGAAGACTAAAGCGTGAATGACGCTCTGTATACGATTTTAACGCCCTACAAGTTCGGACACTTTTTAGCGCGGACCCGACGTCCATATAATTGTAAGTCAATGCATGACACATGTAAAATACCATGATATTCAATAAAATTAATGATTATTTTATTACTGAGTTCTATAATTTTTTATTAATAATATATTTTCAATCAGATCAATACAACTTTATTACATTAATTGGTGATACTGGTTGAATAATACGAGGACGAATAAATTTGTTTCCTATAGCCATCTTATCTATATAAATCTCTAAGTCAATTAATATTATTGAAGCCATTTTCTTGACCCGAGCACCTTAATACAATCATGTCATTTTATGACAAAGGTTATGATGTGACGGGATACCGAACAGATTCTTGTTACGATAGCTAACAGAGGAAATTATTCTTTATTCAGTGTAGCTATTTTATTCATTAGAAAATTTGTATTAAACTTGTAATATATTTATTTTAATTTGAGCTACATGCCAGGTAAAATCTAAAGTAGTCTTTATTTGGGATATATTTTGCTGTTGGTAGATTGCAGCCGGCGTGCAGTCCTGCCGCATATGTAAGTGGATCGCTTTAGCATTTGGAAGTCACGCCGATTGCATGTATTGCGAATTGTGAATTAATTCTATTTATTTTTTTATTTTGTTTGGTCAGTCAACAATTGTTAAACTTACATGTAAAATCTTAAAACTAAGTGCACAGTGTATTATAGACCGACACTACATGCACATTAAATGATTGCAGAGTACTAAAAGGAATTTACATAAAGAAAAGTGTAAACATTAAGAAACCATATAAGTCACTTACAAAACAAAAAGAAAAATTTCGCACTAGATGTCACTAGCGGTTTAGAATGCTGGAAAATCCAGTACAAAGATCTTTAACAAAAAAACATAGGAGAATTTCGACAACTCGATACTTGACTTATACTTGAATTATACTTCAGTAGCTTATCATTGTTAGTAGCAGTAGAGCTCCTTGTGAAAGAGTTCGTCCAGGATAGTACTGCCACCTTACCTATTTCTGCCGCCAAGCAGTAATGTCAGCATTACTGTGTTCCGGTTTTGAAGGGTAAGGGTGCTGGTGAAATTACAGGCACCTGGGGCTTGTCAACTTATGTCTCAGGGTGATTGGATGAGCGCAGTGGTAGTGCCCTTCAGATCTTTGCAATTTAAAGCTCTGGGCTACCTATCAGTAATCCGAAATGACATTTTCCGGAAATAACGTTTGCTCTAATTTTCATAACCTCGAATGTCATTTAAGTCATTTTGAGAGGAAAATGTTTTTTTTTTTAAACTTAACTTAACCTAACCTAACCTAATCGTGGCTTTACGATAAACATCCAACATATCCTGAAAGAACAACGGTTTCGTTATAATTAGGTTTTCGGTGTAATGAAAATTCGAACAAAACGTTATATCGGAAAAAAATCGAGTTGGTAATAGGTTACCAAACCTCTGAGTGGCAATGTAACTGTTATGGATAGGCGTGTAGCTTATCATCAGGCGCACCACTTATTCGTCCCGTCACTTGATGTTATAAAAAAAATTAAATACAACGAAATAAAATATTATAATAGAGTCGTTATTCTATGCAAATACGCATTTATAAAAAAATATTTGTATATTTGTTCAGTATGCGCTCCATTATTCGGATTTCGATAAAACTTTCCTGAGTTGTTGTGCCCACGCCCTCAAGTTTCTAAAGTCTTTAGAACCCTTTTAAGACGTGGGCCAGAACATTAATTTGAATTTATGTGGGCAGTGGCTTTGCAACGGGTATTGCAAGAAGCTTAGTGTGAGTACAAATCTGGCGACTACACCTGCTTGCGAAAGGCTCGCGAGCTGCACACGTGCATTATTATGTAATGCGATCTGTTCACGTGCCGTTCGCTCACCGCTCAATAAAATTAATTGCGCGCTTATAATAAAATCTATTAAAATATAATAATGTTTTTTCTTTGTAATCGCAAAAAAATGTTTTTAGATTCTCTAAACATTTGAAAATCAATTTATACGGAAAAGATTTAATCTCAACAATTCAATTTATTTTGAATAGAATGTGATAACGAAAAAATTCACAATATTTTCTACTAACAGGTTCATGATTGAATTTTGTTTGTGTTGAATTTTGTTGCTTTTAATATACATTTTCAAATTACAGTAATTGCAAAGATTCAAAAAAATTTACCATTATGGTGTAAAATTAACTTTGAAAGTTTTTGCATTTACTTATTATGCGCTTACTTACGGAGTCGCGTATTCATTTCAATTTGTGCAAAACACGGTGACATAATGCGATTATGAGGGTTAAAAAGCAGTTCTTCTATAACTGTGTAAAAAATACGTCATTTCCATTTCAAAGCGACGTTTTGACAGGAGACTAAAAAATCTTTAAGCGCTTCAGTTGAAATAGTTCCAATCTCACCACGAAAAGTTTATTCATTTTAGAGCGAGCGGATGCCCTGTTCAAAATGACGGTTGGGGCCTAGTATTAAATACAACAATTTACGTAATTCGCTTCCCTCTATCACAAAGTTTACTCCGGCTTACATTAATTCGGGTAATAGCTAAGATTTGTTCCCTCTCAATGCCAGGGTTTCAATTAGTATTGCAATGAACATCATGAAGTCGCGGTATGCTGTCTCATGTTTGCTATCTTGCGGAACAAAATGAATATCTACCTAATTAGATATAAATTACTGGAAACTAGTGTGAAATGTGATGTATTAACACTTTATCCCCTTCCCTCCCTCACTAAAGTAGCCGAGTCCAGCTAAATGTTCAATTACTCTACCTCAGTCAGTGTTACAGCTTTGTGCCTTTTGCGTAGGAAACTTTAAACTTTCAGTTTACCTCGTTGCAGCTTCCGGTGATCAGTTACTTACGTCAAAGAATAAGCTTAGATAAACAAAGGAGAATCATTGCCCAGTGCCGGCGCTAAAGTGTATTTTATACGCGCCGACGACGCGCGTTTCACGAATGCGCGTTTACGGCGCCGTAAAAGCGCGACATCTGCGCGTATATGCGCCGCAGACGCACTGTAGTGAATCGATTCCAACGCGCGCAAGCAAGAAGCTGACATTCTCCACTGGAGTTTATATTTAAAATTTTATATAGTTGCTTCATTTAAAGAACTAACTGAAATTAACAAACAAGACTAAAAATAAAACTAGGTACCTCTTATCAAAGTGCGCGATACATAAACGGGTAGAGCACGTCTATGGTACGTATACGCGTAAATGACGCGCGTTAACAGCATTTATAAAATTAGCTATATAGCATGTATGGATAGTCTCAAAGACTCTCCGCGTGTGCCGCACACCCTGCACCGTAGGTAAAGCTGGCATTATCATTGCTGACCTTTTAGGCACGAAGCCTCATGGCTTGGCTCATTTCTTCTCTTCTATATTAAGCATTGTTCGTTCCTTATGTACCATATTTAACGCCATAATCATTACGTATTTCTATTGTAGTTCAAGAAATAGTTTTATTAACGCACATATTATAATTCCAGTTTAAAATTTTATACAATACGAATTTCATGGTGTATCTTATATTAGATAACATGTGTAGGTAATGTAATAATAAACAGGATACGCTTCCTTCCCTTTTTCTCTTTTGTTGTTATTCAATTAAGGAATATTTATTTTATTTTATTCACTGCCTTTTTCAAAATAGCGTATAAATAACGCCGATGCGTTGCGAGCGGTGTAAAGATGTGAACAATATTTTTTATAATGGAAAATATTGTAGAGGTGACCAATAGTACTTTCCCTATCGAAACAAGGCATTATTTTTTTGATTAATTCTTCATGTTTGTAAAATTTGTTATGTCATTGGATCTGCGTAGTTGAATGAAGGTAGCACTTTTTTTTGTTACTCAGTTTGGCATTAAAAACGCATTTTTTTAAAGTATTTTTTTAAATGCCATAATGGTGATATAGAATACATACTAGCGTTAAATTTGAATGTAATATTTTTATTGTAATGTTCACTGGGCGTTTACGTGATCATAGGAATAATATTGTCTGAGTCTGAATTGCTTCATATAATAATATGTACATTTTGATGTACACTTAGCCTTAGGAGGTTAATACTTTTGTGTGCTGAGTACAAATAAGAATTTAAAAAAAATAAAATGCCAATGGCGCAAATATGTTCTTTGTAATTTTTATTGTATATGTTTATATAATATAAGAAATTTTATTTATAATTTCCTCGCAGCCAAAGTGAAAAGCTGTGTGTAACTCTGTTGTGAAACTTATTTAACACTTCTTCCACAACTCCACGACTCAAATCCACGTTCTTTAAGACTGAAAAAACACCATTACGAGTACGTACTACTTTGTCTAAACTTTGTAGGACGTTAGTACGTTCGATTCCCTACAAAGTTTAGACAAATCATTCTACGATATGAGTTCTATTTTTGTTAATTATCAACTTAACAAAGATACAACGAACTAAAATGTATACGTATACTTTTGATTTTTTTTCTCCATAGGAAGAGAAAGACCAGCTTCTGACCACCAATTGCTGGATCACGCAGATCTGGATGGACTACCACCTGCGTTGGAACGTCAGTGAATTTGGTGACATCAGCGTCGTCCGAATACCTTACGAGAGGGTCTGGCGGCCGGACATCATACTGTACAACAAGTTAGTTAAATAAAAATAACATGGTCGCACGCATTTCTAACTCCTCTATCTAAATTTTTTATACATTTTCTAGAGGTGCAGGTGTTGGATGAGTTTATAATTATAACAATAGTCATAACGTTTATTTCTCTACCTAACAAAAAAGTACTGCCCTTCATGTCACAACTAACGCATTTGCATTTTAGTAACTTTTGAGATTAGTGCACCTAAAGTTTTATTGTCATTCAATAAAAATATAAATTGCGTTTATTTTACTTAACAATAAAACTGAAACTGAATAAGTTATTAAGAAACTGTTTAGATGGTGTTGTATGATGGTGATGTGCTGATGTGCCGTTGTCTGTACATAAAGGTCTTAGTAATTTTAAGATATATTACGCATTTCGAAGGAGCGTCACCTGACCCTAATCTTTAGGAATGACATATACATGCTTATAGCATTACTAAGCAGATTCTAACGAAGATTATATGAGAGAAACAAGATGACAAAATGTAAACAGTATAGATAGATATACAATTCATGATTTATGGAGAAAGCAGGAAAGTAATTTGTCTATAACATATAGGACGACGAACAGAATGAATAGTAATCATTATTGAGAGTGACTGACTGACTGATGACTGAGAATTAGCCATTGTCTAACAAAGAGAGGCGGAGAAGAGCCATGTTTCAAACTTCCTTATTTCGCGATAATGAGCCTTCAAGCTGTGGGCGTGAAGCGACGTTATTAAGTTATACGACTAGGTATACAAAAACAATTAGTAGAATTATAATTTTCTCTGTGGCCTAACGGTTACCATGCTGGTCTGCCACGCAGAGGTCTCGAGTTTGATTCCCGGACCGGGAGAAATATTTGTATGGTCTAAATTTATTTCTCTCGTGAGTTTGGGGTGTAATTTGTAGTTGGCTATGCGTGTGTCCATGGCACATTCGACATAGGCTTTGGCTAGTACGGGGCTATGAGTATATGCATAAGAAATTGTGCAATCCCTATAACTTGTAGAAGTTAAAATGAACGTAAAAACAAAGATCGACAACAAGCACATAGAGAAATGTAAGTCGTTATTCGTCTGCTGATTTATTCAGTAGCTCAATTGGGAGAGCGATTAGCCTCGGTCTCGCAAATAGTCGCTGGTTTGAATCCAACCGGATCAAAGGAGTTTTGCTTTGTATTTGTTCGATCTTTGTATCAATAATAACATCAAACTACTGTTGTATTTTCACAAAAAGTATATGCAATCGTGATAGCGTCATGATATTTAATAAACTAAATACAGTAATTATCGAGTCCTTAGGTTTTGGCGATTGTTACACATAGGAAATGAAACAATTTTTTTTCGGATGTAAATTGCGTATTTTTGTTTTTTCAAACAAACCAAACAAACGACACAGGATCTTAGGGGCACTGCACTGTATCCGTCTCCCTGAGATATAAGTTGATAAGTTCCTTGTGAATTAGATAAGGGCGCTTTTGAATTAGACGGTTGTAGAAGCGCCGCTGCAGTGGCGAGACAGTCGCGCGTCAGCCGTGCGTCTGTGTCGCTTCAGTAACTTTAGTTCACTAATTGCGACTGCAAAAGGGGCACGCGCGTGTCACGATAGTGGCGTTGCAACTGCGCTTCTAAATATTGTATAAAAACGAGTAATGGCGCTACTGCAGCGCCACAGTCGCGCCACTGTAGCGCTTCTATAAGCGTCTAATTTGAAGGTGCTCTTCGCCCTTCGCCCATCGTCGTCACATCGATGCACACGAATCAAATCCTTAAGCGACCACAATTCGACTTGGGTGAATAATGATTCAATCCTAAAGATTCGTTCTTTGTTGTTGAATTATGTATGCTCCAAAACGTGTTATAACTATACAGACGTTTCTGAATGAATAAATAAATATATTTTATCCATCACTGACGTAAGGTTCAATAATATTGTAATTTATTGTAATTATTTATCGATACAGTATTTATTAATATTTTATGGATAGACCTACTATAAAAGCGGTGGTAGCCCTGTGTTATAGATGGGAGAATGGTTGTTTCACAATTGAGAGGTCACCAGTTTGAATCTCTGTGCTGGAATATACTTTAATTTGTAAGTTATATAATTTTTTTAAGACGAATTGGTATCGTGGCTGCGTAGGCTTTGAAACGCTGTGAGGTAGACGCGGAGAAATTCATTGCACGATGTTCAAACATTTGCATTTTAGAAATAAAAATTAAATAAATATGTCAAAACGTCTATTTTTGAGGTCTCACTTCACCTTGAGTCCAACAGTAGGATGTACAATGGATTAGTGATGATAGATATACATCAGTACATGAGGTCATTCTCTTGAAACTAATTATTAACTGAAATAAGATCTCATTGAAAGTAGAAATTTGCATTTTTTTCGATTTATATTTTTTCTAAAAAAAAGGGCATAATGCTATGCGGCGACTGTATCCATCTACGTATAGGTAGGTAACCCGTTAAAAGGGTAGATAGCTCAAGTTTTAAAACCACTGTATATTATATTGTTTTGATAATAAATGAAAATACAATATTTTTACAAAGATTTATGATCACACAAAGTCATTGTATGAAAAAATATTGATTCTTTTCATTTCAAGGATCGTCAATCAGAATCGCCAAAGCATCTGATGCGCACTATATTTCTTTAGTGAGATTTTGAATTATGTGTTCTATATTGTACAAGTGAAACGAAAATCGAAAAATAAACATATTCAAAGTGAAATTTTTCTATTTATTTACATTTCACGTGTTTATTGTAATCGCAATGCTGATACTGACAGCTTTGATGTGTGTATAGTTGGTGTACACCCTCGTATTTTTACTGTCGCGGAGGTTGACCACAAATCCTTCGCGCGCGTTCTCTGCATTTGATAAATATGCTGCCAACTTTAATAGAATAAATTCAAGTACAATATACATCTGACGTCAAAATAACTTTTGATGTGGAAATCATATTTTCATCATTTTGAACAGTGTAACGTTAAATGATAATTGGATGAAAATGAGTAACATTTCACATGTTACACATATTGTGGTCTTATTAATTATATGTTGTAATCTTATAAGGCAGCCGTTTGACCTATATAAGGTATATAAAAAATTTGCACGTTTTGTAATTTCTCTATTCAAAATGTGGTTTGTATGTTGTAAGGTGAAGAAAATGAGGAAAATGCGGTGAAAATTTTCAGTCAGCGGAATATTAAACAAAAGGAACAATGTAGTACAATTAAGTCTCTCAGAACTGAAATAAGCTATATTTTAATATCAGGCAGCGCGGTTCACAATTTGCAACCATTCATGATTTTACATCTTTTCGGCCGTTAATTGTTTTATTTTAGCCGTTTCGGTTATAAAGTTACTTAATACCTATGTTAAATACGTAGGAATATCAAATCAAAGTGACATTTAAACCGAGGGACAGTATAGTTGCGAACGATATCGCTGCGACTCCTTTTATCGAATGTAGACGCAATACACCGGCAAGATGGAAGGACCACGTGAGACAGATGACCGGCATCGGCTGGGTGTGGACGACACTGGTCCCGGAGAGTTGGCGTGCTCAGGGGAAGGCTTATGTCCAGCAATGGATGCATGTCAGATGTCCATTATACTCGAATTTTAAAGCCTGTCATTGGATTTCCCTATTTAATAAATTCGTAAAGTAATATCCAAACATAGATGTGATTATAATTGAAGCAGTTTTTATTTGTAATTTAGAAAGTATTTGATTGGTTACAGAATTGATTGACTTGTGTATTTGTTCGCCAATCAGATATAACAATTTCTGGCAATTTGTTCGATCTCGGTTATTCCTTCCAAATTGAATTTAAAATAACATCATAATAATAATAACGCACACACTCATAATCTCGCACTAGGGAAACGCTGTATCGCAGGTGCCATACTATGGTCACACACGTAGACAACCACAAATTACATTTAAACTCACAAGACAAATTATATTTCTCTTCCCGTCCAGGAATCGAACCTAGGATCTCTACGTGGCAGACCATGGAATCTGGCCACGGAGGCAGTTAAATTAACATCATCATTTCAGCCGAAAGATGTCTACTATTAGACATAGGCCTCTCCCAAAGAACGATACAACAACCGGTCTTGTGCTGCTTGCATCCAGCGGATTCCCGCAATCTTCACCAGATCATCAAAATATCATTTTGTCTAATTGTAAAATTGATGGCAAAAAGTGAAACCCGGAATTTCTTTTACAAAGTAGGGGTTACAATAATTTTGCAAAGCATGTCACATAGTTTATATATTTATCTTATACTCAAAACTTTCACAAACGTGAACGTACGTCATTACGGTACGATGTAGTTTATATCTCAAACAAATAATGCCTCTGCATATCTGGAACACTAATTAATAAATAATTAACTATTTAATTGGTCAATCGCGTGAATATATATGGATAAATTTACTCCCGGAGTGTAATTAAGCGATGATAGTTAATATTACATATGGTATTTTTGTTGCAGCGCGGATCCCAATTACCGGTCGGCAGTGATCAATACGAACGTAATAGTGAAGTACACAGGCGAAGTAACTTGGCTTAGCCATGGTATCTACATTTCAGTCTGCGACATCAACGTGGAGCAGTTCCCTTTTGATGTCCAACTCTGCACGATGAAGTGGGCTTCCTGGACTTATGACGGATTTCAGGTACAAAACATTTTCTTTCATGTATCTGAGAATATATTCATTATCACGTGCTGCCAGGTACTTACGTGTGCACTAAGCGCGTTTGTGCGCTGCATCCGATTCGTATTCGTTCCGAATCCGAGACTGTACAGATCTAGAAAACTCGGACCCGCTTCGGATATCGCTTGTGCATTAAGAGCTCTCATGCCAAAAAAGTTTTGACGTTGGCTCCGCCCAAATTTGTGAAACAAATATATGCCTGAAGTTCGCGTGATATGCAACAGGAGATGTTGAATTTTGCGTATTAAAAGTACCAAATTCGTTTTAGGGGAATAACTCTAAAACTAAAGGGATAAAAAAAAATCTTTAGTGACAGTTGTCGATGCATAAATATAATTAATTATCTAATTTTTGTCCTAATAACCTGTAGCATTTCGAGGATAAATCGAAAAAATGTGAAAATTAGATGTCATTTCGTGATTTTTATCTATCGAGGAAACTTTATTGTTTTATGTTTCTGATTAGTGTCTATGCTTGAATATATCGTGTAGTTACTCATACAATATTTTATTCTTAACTTTAAAGTGGACATACCCCGTTAAAATCAAATCGAAGATTAGGAATTTTTCCTCTGCTCCCTCTTAAGTCCGAGTCAAATCCAAGAAAATATGAATATCGCTTGTACACTTAGAGATAAAATGACACTTCGGACACCTATGACATTTCTGAACGTCATTTCTCGGATTCGGAACTGATACTAATCGGACGTATTGCGTAAACGCTTTAAGGGTGCCTTCAAATTAGATGCTTTTTGAAGCGCTGCCGTGGTGCGTCTGGTACAGCAGCCGCCTCACAATTAATTTTTATACAATATCTATGCGCCACACACAGTAACAATTATGTCCACTTGCACTAGACTTAAGTACGTCTTAAACCATTGCTTAAATCGAAAAGACAGTATTACCACAGTGTATTAAGACTATATTTTGCATTTCAAGCATTGGCTTAATAAATATTTAACTTTAGGGCAAGTGGACATTAGTGATATAACACACGGCTGCTGCGCCACAGTTGCGCCACAGCAGCGCTTCTATGAGCATTTAATTTGAAGGCGCCCTTTGCTAAGTAGTTTAGTTCTTAGGTTTTCGCGATTGTTATACATTGGAAATGAAACTTTCGGATCTAAATCGCGTGTATTTGTTTTTTCAAACAAAGTTTCGGGCGCTTTACTAGTCCTTTAGACGCAGTAAAGCTCTTTGTGAAAGAATTCGACCAGGAAAGTACTGTTAGTTTAGTTATTTCTACCACCACGCAGTAACACGCGGTTTTGAAGGGTAAGGGAACTGGTGAAATTAGAGGCACATGAGATTTGTCAAATTATGTCTCTGGGAGATAGAAAGGGCGCAGTGACAGTGCTCCCCAGATATTTGCGATTTAAGGCTATGAGTGGCACTGCAACTGTCGTGTTGCTTATTACCAGGCACATGACTCGTTCGTTCCGTCACTTGGTATCATAATATATACAGCTAATATATAATAGACCGCTCTTTTTAATAGGTACTGTTTGCTCTTTCTATTGGGTATTTCTATGCTACTTCCGGCTTTAGTCTTATGGAATGAGTTTTATTAAGAAGAGTCCTTGTTTGAGTACAAATTAACGTATTCCAATTATACAGGCTTCCGTAAGAATAATTCCATCAATTTGGCTATCTACGAATTTCTTGATAAAATATATTCTACACTATCTAACCAAGATCTAACGAAGGCATTTGATTATGTAAATCATAACACGCTTTTGCACATATTGTGGGTACACGGTGTAAGAGCCAATACCCAGGAACTAATAAAATCCTACCTTAAAAATAGACTTCAGTCAACATACATTAATGAAGTATATCCCGTATCGAAAATTGAGAAGTTTTATGCATCAACACAGCGAATAGTAACTTAAGGAAGCGTATTGGGACCATTGCTATTCTTAATATACATAAATGACATTCCTAAATCAATTAACGACTCGATGATATTATTTGCGGATGATTGTACGGTAATTTATGACAATGAAACAAATATAAATAAAAGTTTGAACTCTATTATTGAATGGCTAAAATATAATGATCTAGTTATAAATCTTGACAAAACTAAAGTTATGAACTTTAATCAAAGATACAATAAACTAATGCAAACTAGAGTGGTCTATGAAACCAAGGAGGTCGGTGAAACAATGGCAGTAAAGTTCTTAGGTTTATACATAGATACTAATCTAAAATGCCAAACACACCTAGAACATGTATGTGGTAAGACAATAAAGTTTTCTTATGCATTGTTTAGGCTATCGAAAATAGCAAATTTAAACGCTTTAGTGACCGCCTACCATGGTTATGTAGCAACCAACCTTAGGTATGGAATCATTTTTTGGGGAAATGCACCGTACACTGAACGCATATTCAAAGCTCAAAAGAGATGTATTCGGGCTGTATGCGGCTTGAAAAAAAAACAAATAGCTGTCAACCACATTTTAAAAATTTGAAAATACTGACTCTACCATGCTTGTATTATTCGAAATTTCACTTTTCGTAAAGCGTCATCTTAATTTATTTGAATTCGTCACACGATCAACTGAAAAGTAGATCATGTAAAACTGCTCTACTTCAAAAGAGTGTAATAGTAATGGCTGCTAAGGTATACAATAAATTTCCACTTAAAATTAGGAATTGCAATGATTGTGCAGAATTTAAGAAATTATTATTTTTTTAAATTTTTTCTGAGTGTTTTTTCTGAGTGTTCGATCTTTGTATTAATAATTATAACAAACTAGTGGAGTAATTTCACAAAAAATAATTGAATATCAATTCAATAAAAATTTAATTAATTATTATTTAATTACTTAGATGATATGACATTCTATAATATTGAAGATTTCTTACAAAATTGATTACTATTTTGCTATTGTTATTATGTTTCATTAGTATTAGGTTGCATTAATTGAACTGCATGATTATAATAATATTACAAATTATTGCACAGTGATTCAAAATTCATTCTTGTAACAACTTTATAACCTGTGTATCACAAAGAAATAAATGATTTGATTTGATTTATATATAATATTATGGTCGCGGCTGACACGATCCGAAAAAATCTGAAAACATAGTTTCATTTACAATACAAAGCTTAAGTTAGATGTTGTTGTTCCACCTGTAGGTACAGATATATTTCGCAATATTTCAGAGGGTGATTTTACTTGCTAAGACAAACAACTTTTATTATTATTATATAGGAATTCCTCTGAAATATTAACAGAAAATAAGTTCATATTTGAGGTATAGAGATTTAGTATTAAAAACCTGATATTTTTTTCGCCACGATTCCATACTAAAATTTGTTCGCAGTGCTATATTGTACAATTAGCTCATAAAATATCACGGAACATAAAATTTTCACGTTAAATGTTTTGCATAATTATTTAGTTTACTTTTTTTTTACTTTACTATTATTTTCGTGTCACATCACAAATTTGTAGACACAAAAAATTGCAAAGCTAGTTTCTGGGGACAAAGAATTTTAGGTCAAAATATTCCTTATATTTATGAACACAGACAGTAACATAAAAGCTGGTTCGAGTCAGCAATAATGAGAGTGGAATATAAATGATTACAGATGAGAAATTCACCGCTGCATTAAACAAAAACAATAGTGAGGTTTCCGCGACACTCATTTCAAAGCACTTGGCTTCGGAACGTTTGTAGCAGACGGAACCACTGGCGAGTAAATCAGAAATATCGTCGTATCGCATTGTTAACGATGTCCGTGGAAACCCTGTCGTCTGCGGAACGATGCATTTGAAAAGAACGATAAATAAAAGCTATTTCCAGCCGTTGAAATTTGTAGAGCTCAAGTGATATTCCTAGTCTCTTTGGATATAATAAAAGTCTTTTTAGACGGAGAGACTTTATCGCACGATTCGTGATGAGAAATCGTACGCTACTATTGTAAACAATAACTGTCATAAGATTATCGTATCATAATATTTAAGTACAGGCTATAACTAAAATCTTGCTATGACGATTAAGTCATACTACATTCGCGAGTAACTTATCGCCTACTGCGACTGTTTACACTATACATTTTTGCAAGTTAAAAGGGACAATAAAGGTATTTTTTTAATTGCTGATGAAACTGCAATGAAAGTTTCTATATAAAACAAGTGTTACGTGGTTTACACAGTGACATTATGTACTAAGGAGATTTTTGCTCACGAGATAACGACTTTTAGGAACACGTTTCTGTATGAATTTTTTTCAAGATCATACGAGTATCGTACGACGACGCCAGATTTGCCATTCGAGTTCAGTGATAACTACGATATTGTTCTGTTTCGACCGAGGCGATCAGTAGTCAATGACGAGGCGATTGTCGCTTACGCAGAATGGCGATAATGGCGAATGTTTATATGAGGAAACTTTCATATTCTTTCGATAATTATGTCTTTGTGACGAGAAACTCTCTCCGTTTAAAAAGGCCTTACATATGCTCAGAATTACATTGATCATAAAATTCGTTTTCACTTTTTGAAAAATATATTAGTATTAATATATATACACAGCTATAATACAAACGTTTTGCATTCGTGCGTTCGCGACTTTTTTATACTAAAGTGTTTTCTCTACATTTAATTAAAACGTGATTCTACATACCAGCAATTAACTTAAAAAGTAAAATTTAACCCTACCAAAAAGGTGCTGTCAGAAAATAAGAATGAATGTTATTTTATCTGTACAACTCGAGGGAGAGAAACCTTTTATGAATGTGGATTGTGGAGGCAACGGATGACTGTGTTTGACTTTTAAACATACCTTGTTTATTTTTTATAACCCCGCTTTTCGTACAATAAATATAAAGCACGCTGCTGTGTAATTACATATTTGCGGTATTTATTCAATAGCGAAGGTATACCCATTAGAACAAAAATTATATGACATAATGAATAACTACACGAAAATTTTGATTTCGTGTTTTCAAAAGTTACCTATATATAGTTATGGAAAAGGAGCTTCTGAAGACTTGTTCCCTGAATGGTATAACTTGGGCCTTTTCAAGGCGAGAGTGAATAGGTATTATTTAGGTGTGGATGCTCCATTGTCGACCTTACCGTCGTCGTTAATTTTTAATTTATATATAAAAGACATTATTCTTTGTGTTCGACCTTTGTATAATAATAATTATAATTTTAGTTAATCACAAGCACTTTTTTATTTTAGTAAGCATGTTATACACGTAACATTGCGTAACAGTAAAAATCTGAATATGTAACAGCTGATACTGTAAAGAAAAACTAACAAGATAGTTCATGGAATCAATCATGACATGATTAAATTCGTTACTTAAAACGGTTCTGTGCTTGAGAGGTTCAAAATATATTACAAGGATACAAGTTGTACAATCATTTTAAACAACATCTTCTTTGTTTGATCACGTTATTTTTTTCAGTAAAACACATATTGTTTGTATTTCATCTTAATTTCTTGTATAAACCGTAATGCGGTAGTAGGTGCAGGCAAGACTTTATTCACGCTCACTAATGGTTTCTATGCTCCATTCCCTCTCTGCAAAACAAGTACATATATCGTAGCAGCTAACAGAATAAACGTCCAACTAAATTCCCAAAAGTATGCGCAAAATTACAAATTCCTTAAACACGAATTTAATGTTTCAAAATTGCGTTAAGTACAAAATTATTTTTAATACTACAACTAGTAAAAACACTTTCATAATTGTTTTTTATTGTAATCACAGTGCTGAAACTGGCAGCTCAGACGTGTATAGCTAATGTACACCCTCGTACTGACTGTCACAAAAAATGACAACAAATCTTTCACACGCATTCTCTGAATTTGATAAATATGCTGCGCATTTTAATGAAATATGGTATATACAAATTCAAATATTCAGGGTGTAATCGTTAAGTGTGCCCAGGCGATTATTCCATAAATATAAGAGATATCAAAAAACTTTAAACTGATATCGAAAGTACATTACCTAATGAATGAATCAACTGCCTCCATGGCCGAACGGTTACCATGCCAGACTGCCACGCAGAGGTCCCAGCCTCGATTTCCGGGCCGGGACAAATATTTGTATGGCCTACGTTTATTTCTCTCGCGAGTTTGGGTATAATTTGTGGTTGTCTGTGTGTGTCAGCACTGAAAAAAATGTTCAATAGTATTAATTTTTCTGTACAACTCACTCTTGACCGAATAATTGACTATCACATTATATATTTTTTCAATTAAAAGGTAGTTTTATTACATTATATACAGCAGTTTTGTTATCTGTTAACTTATTGTTACCTCTTACAGTAGGAAAACTAAAGCCTCTCTACGAATGGCATATTAAATGTATGGGAGCGTTTAATGCTAAATTTTTGGATATTTCTAGTTTTATTTTAAAAAAGTTATTGATGACGATTAACTCAATAGGTAACGTACTTTCGATATCAGTTTAAAGCCTTTTGATATCTCTTATATTTACGGAATAATTGCCAGGGCACACTTATCGATTATACCCTGTATACCTGTCGTCAAAGTAAAAACATTTTGATGTTCAAATTCGTAGAACATTCATTTCGTTGAAATTATATTTAAATATTCACTAAGTTTTTGAATAGCGTTTCGTAACGCTTTGCCGTTATCCAAACTAATATTTTAATGTGAAAGTAGCTCTGTGTGTTACGTTTTTACACCTAAACCGCTAAACCAAATTTGAGGAATTTTTGTACAGAAGTAGAAGGTACCTAGGAGAAGGACAAAGGTTTTTTGTCACAAAAATAAATCATGTTAACAAAACTGAGAAATAGCTTTCAAATAATTATTACTTTTTTTAAATTCCAATCACAATTTACTATAATCACAATGAGAACAATAACCATCAATTTATATGAATAAAAAGCACTCCAAAGCCAATGGAAGGAAACCTTCGTCGCGCACCAAGCGCTAGGAAGAAATGATCTCTAAATATAATCAGTGTACATCAATGATTATGTGTATGAGTTGAGAAATAGGTTCATACGATGCTGTTCTTCTTGATAAGAACGTGTCCTTAGTGCACGTGGTTATTTCATGTCAGGACTCAAAATTCACTGTCATTTTAATTGTCCCCTTGAAGTGGTTGGCAGTTGGATTGAAATCGCACTTTTGATTTGTGGCTTCAAGTTTTGTAACTTAAAGGGCGTGAAATAGGGGATGAAAGTTTGTGTGGAGGACCAATAAACCTATGAAAGTTTGTGAATTACAGTAGGCTACTCGAAGTACCAGCTACTTGTTTCATAATTGATTGGTTAACAGCTTTTCTCAACTTCACAAATTGCAAATATGTTACATATTTATAGGTATATTGGATTTCATTTTAAAAGTCCCGGATTAGTTCGGGCTCGCCAACTTTAAGCTGATAGGCAACCGCGCTTCACTGTACCTCATATTTTCTTTTCAACATGCGCTGGCTACAAAATGTATTTTTCTGACAAAATACCGAAAATGTGTGGAAATAGTTTCGAAATTCAAATAAAATTTTGGACTCACCAAATAATGCAATATTTTTATGCATCAATCATATCAATACAGAATGTATAAGATAAATAATAAAACATTTTATAAATCAATTGAAATTCGCCTCAGATTATATCTACTGTCGAATATTTAGAAACTCTGTCGATTTTTGAAGTTGCTCCCGGCCATATTATTTGACTTTTAAATTGGGATTCCCTTTAAAACGAACTTTATTCACCGCAACGCCGCCGCCTCGAGCAGCATGAATTAATTCTTCTCCGGCGGTGACAGGTTTCTAAAATTAAATCGACGGAAGACGGTACATAAAATGACGTGCAATATTAATAATCATACTAATAATAATTTTGCTACATCAAACATACCTAAATTAAATTTTTACAATTGCTAGAGCCAAAAAGAAATTTGGAATTTGGTGCAAATTATTTTTTAATCATTTAAGCGTAGTGGTATTGTTTTTCGTATTATCGTATCGATGGAAATATTATTTGATCACGACTGCAATATGCTTTTTAATAAATGCTAAGTATAAGACAATAGAGAACCGAAGGGAAAAGATGTTTGGGTGTCTAATGCATCACGACAGTTTTCCCAGAAGCGTCATCTTCTTCTTATCGTATTGATGACATACACTGTAATGCTTGCTTGTGGTGACAGGATTCGAAAATCAGTGTATCGCTGATTATCGCCCAAGATTAATGCCAGGCGTATAGGGAAGGAATGGCATGTCGCGCGGGGAGGTTCCTTTCATGTACCCTACGAAGCATCATAGGACGGATCGAAAGAAAGAGAGGCAGAGGTAGACAGAGACGAAATTATTATTATTATTATTATTTTCATAATATCAAGTGACGGTAAGCTACACGCCTGTCCATGACAGTTGCAGTGCCACTCAGAGCTTTAAATCTCGAAGCGCCCGTCGTCCTGAGACATAAGTTGACAAGTTCCATGTGCCTGTAATTTCACTAGCACCCTTACTCTTCAAAACCGGAATGCAGTAATGCTGAGATTACTACTTGGCGGCAGAAATAGACAATGTGGTAAGTACTTCCCTGGACAAATTCTTTCACAACAAGCTCTACTGCTACTTAAAATTACTTATATCAGGTAAGGGAAAAAGTGAATGTGGCGTCGTATCGGGTATTCATAATTAGGGCGCTGAACACGGAGGGTTGGCAATTACCCACCGACAAGAGCTTAGGCCTTAAATAAGAAGAAGTATAGACATTTGAGGCAAAACTAACTAGTATTTATCTTCTACAATTTGTTGACTTCGCTGAAACGATTTATATCTACCTCAAAGCTGTACCACGCCAGCAAATCTTTTTTTATCGAAATCATACCCTGTATCGACTATTCTGAATTTGTCATAGTAACTCTGGTATTTTTTAATAATTATGACATCATTTTACTAATTACGACATTTAATATATTGTATGAGTTGGTTGTTGCATTTTTGTTTTTTTCATTTATTTTCATTTCATGATGTAAGTAAGTAGAAATTTTGGTTACAAACGTCTTACGCTTGAGCAACAGCATATGAAATGATGTAATTCTTATACTTGTTCTTGTGAATGTATAAATTGATTTAGTATATTACTAATAAAAGGATAAGTAGATAGGTTATGAATTAACACCAAATAACACCCAATTAATAAGTTTATTATTAATATGGGAAATTATTCGTTACACTTTATAGAGGTATTGTGGGCACAATTTGCGTACGATGGTGTCGTCTTGGTTATAACGGCTTTTTGAATTTTATGTCCAAGGTTGCCGGGAGATCCAACTTAGCTAAACTTTGCAACAGGGTCCTTGAAATAATGTCGGCAGCGGATAAAATGAGGGGCACCATATATCCCTCTCGTTGCTGCCAGATCTGCCGAATCTGTCGAATCCCGAATTGTTACTATTTTGGATATCTGTTTTAGACTCTCGCCTCTACCATGACCTAAAAAATTAGTTTTGAATGGGAGAGGCTGTATTCCCCGCCGTTATTATTATAATGTTTATCATCTTTTTCGGTGCATCTTAATGGGTAATGATAGAGGAAGTATGGGCAGAACTGGCAACACACTACCTAACTAACTATTGCATGTTAAGGCGGCGGCATTCATCGATGTCGTCGTGATTTTCACGGCTTTTTGAATATTTTTATTATTATATGTGCAGTTGGACCTAATAAAGCAATTCGACGAAGGTGATACAACAAATTACCAGACAAACGGCGAGTTTGACCTCGTGAGCTTCGAAGCTATCCGGCACAATCAATATTACTCTTGCTGCGTGGAGCCTTATCCTGACATCACTTATGTTATCAAACTGAGACGAAGGCCCATGTTCTACGTCTTCAACCTCATTCTGCCCTGCCTACTGATCAATGGAATTGGTAAGACCGTCATTTCAATTCAACATACTATTAACTTTCTTTTTGTCGTCGTTTTAATATTCAATCTAAAAATTATGAAATAAAATGAAAAAAATGAAAATAAAACGATATTACGAAGTTGCTCTTATTAAAAATGTAATTAACAGTGTTGCAACGAATAGTATGCCAGTAGCCTAGAAGCGTGACTGAATAGCCAAATGTTGGACTAAACTATTCGGCCTGATTGACACACGTAAGAAAATTGGCCCAAAAAATATCGCTTTTATTATAACTCTATCTAATAATCTAATATCACTAATCATAAATAGTTTTGTAGAAATGAAACAATAAGGTAATTTAATTTTCAAGTTTATAATTTAAAATTTTGGCTTCTTAATGAAGAAAGTAATTGTTTATTTCACTTCAGTTTGATTAACTTGCAAAAATATATTTTATTTTTGTTTACAATTAATAAGAACTTTGGTGATTTTGTTAGCGTTTATTTAGTCAAGATTAAACTATGTAATAAGTCGGTAGTTTATATTTGGTTTCTTACCTTTTTTGATTTCTTAGAAAAATAACTTAGTTATGTCATATTTCCTTTGATTTGATAGATAAATATGACCAAAATTTTCTCAAATTTAGAGAAGTTTTCAATATATGTTTCAGCATTAATATTAGTTACATGATAATTTACTGTAATTTTTCTTATTACTTTCTCCTATTTTATGTATTCGGTATTCGGTCGAATAGCAGAAAAGAGGCCGAATAAGCCGGATAGTAACCAAATTTTTGTTACATTTTTAGTAATATAATCAATGTAGATACTAGTAGTATATCTATCAGTAAATTCAATTCTATAAAGATGGAATTTTCCTTGAATTAACTGAGGAGATGAAACAAAACAAAAATAATTAGTACCATTTATTTCAGTGACAAACTAACAGATTTTTTAAATTATATTCATACTTGAGTTCAAGCTGGTAACAATTTAGTTATGGAAATATTTTAAAACTAATCATTCTCTCTAAAGGATACGATCTATTATTTGGAACATAAATCAATCATTTGATTTATGTCGTACTTGTGCCTGGCCAATTATAAAGCTTTTTGACTTGTAACTCAAGAATAAAATTCTGATATTAATATTTTATTGTATCCTACTGCAGCTATTACTGGCGTACTGCAGCTATTAATAACTATGTTTATTTTGTAACATGATCTTTACTTAATTCAACTTTTATTGTTAAAAATTAAAATACATTTTTTTATGACACTGTAATTGTGTCACAAAGTTCAGATTTTCGTGTTTTGTCTATATATTCAATGTATGGATGTACTTTTTTCGATTAATTTCTCTCTTTTTAATCGAGTTTAAAAAAAGGATGAGGTTATACGTTCGGCTGTATGTATGTTTCCGATATCTCCGTCAATTGTGGACGGATTTTGAAAATTCTTTTTTTGTTTTAAAGGGTGTATACTCTTGGGGCATTGATTCTTTTTTGTTTTAAAGGGTGTATGTACTCTCGACGTCTCTCCAGTTGCCACCAACTCAGATTCTGATGAAGGGATCCGTGGAAATATAGAAAACCCTCAAATTTTATAGGCATGTCAGTGTACTTACCAATTTCTCCATCAATTGTAGACCGATTTTGAAAATTCTGTTTTGTTTGAAAGGGTAAAGGGTTTCGAGGTGACCACCTCCGTAGTATACCAACGATGCTAACGCCGACGACGCTGTTCCGGATTCGTTTTGGCTATCACAAATGAAAGAATTCAATTGGAATCATAGTTATTTCAGCTCTATTGCATTACAAAGCATTGTGTTGATCACAAATACAATTTAATATTGTAATATAATTTGGAATGTTATCGCCTCTCAATAGAGAGAGTAAAACTATAGAGACAGTTTGCTATTGTTTGTTAATATTGCAATTTTGTAAAACTGTATTTCGTTGCTTTTGAAATGCAAAACTGTACAGAGTTACCACTCAGTTGTTTTTTTATTTGGATGAGCGTGTGAGTAATAATTATAACTTTTTTCGTCGAATTACATCTATAGGCCAGGTTTTTTTTTGAAATCGGTTACCGAAAAGTGTGCGAAACCGCAATCATCCCCTAGTTTGCCATCGTTAGAGGTGGAATATTTTCTTCAAATTCAGATGGGACCAATACTGAGGTACTCTCTTTCCGACAAAAAAGAATCCTCAAAGTCGGTTCACAAATACCGGAGTAATCGCGTCACAAAAAAAGACAGTACAATTGGGAACTCCTCCTTTTTTGAAGTCGGTTAAAAACGTAACCTATTACACAAATTATGTACTGCGTAAGTGCTAAGAGTGTTATTCTAATTAACTTTTTAGTACACTTGCGTTGCGTCATGATAGATAGTTTGAAAATATTATATCAAAAGTAGCTTTCAAAATATTGTCAGTAAAATTTCTATCGGCTTAGGTAACTGGGGTTGGAAATAAAATGACCCGTAGTTTGAAATCTGAGATTCCTTTGTAGCAAACTACCTTAGATGAGCTAAGTAGGTCTTAAAACCGAATCGCCTTGAGTCCAGCTGGGATTAAGCGGACCGTGCTTAATCTTCTTTAACTGTATACCGAGACGCCAAGGTAGGCAATTTGGAACTTACCAACTATTTCTTTCAAGTCGATGTCAAACACATAACGATGTCTTTTCTAAGGCTTTAATAAAAATAAAATGTATTATTTCCTAACGTTCTTTATTGATGTGATAACACTCAACTTTATACTTTGGGCCGATCTTAATATATCTGGCGTAGAGTTCAGTTTCAATTTTAAGTAAAAAAGTGGAGTGTGCAATCGGAATATATGATGCGATAAAGTTAAGGTTAGGTTAAGGTTCTATATTTTCATAGCGTTACTGGTATTCTACGTGCCGTCGGAGTCTGGCGAGAAGGTCACATTAGGCATCAGCGCTTTGTTGTCTATGACGGTCTTCCTCATGACCATTCGAGATACTCTACCGCCTACGGAGAAAACGCCACTCATCAGTAAGTATTACTATTCTACTTATCTATAACAATTAATATTTATACTTTATAATTAGTATTTATATGACTTTGCACGACCAGAGTTATCTTAACACTCTCAGCGCCGTAGAACAAACGATTTTTCTGAAGTAGCTGGTCATGTGAGCGGCCGGCGCGCGGGACAAGCATTCTTTTTTTCACAGCACGCCATGCCTGAACTTAAGTAATTTTTGTGGTAGGCCATACGGGCTGCCGGCGGGACACGCATTTTTTTTGCAGCACGTCATGCGTGATCTCAAATAACTTTTGTAACAGGCCATGTGGGCTGCCGGTGGAACACCTTCAAGCTTTACCAGCAGCCCACGCATTATGCCCTGATTCCATCAAAAACAGCTGTGTTTTTAAATGAAAACAAAGAAGATGGTTTGTTTTCACAAAAGAAACAATTGGCTGGAGTCGCCGACATTCGATACCTGTCGGTCTACTGATGCAACCTTTGACAGATCAAAAGAAAAATCGAAAACAAATTTTAATTTGTGATTGAGGTCTAATAATAAAAAAAATATAATAATATTCTCACATGGTTTACTGGGTAAAATTTGAAAATATATAGTGGCTTGTTTCACTCGATGTCTTTCTGGGTGACCACCGGTCCATGTGGCTTGCTGGTTGACATTCGAAAAAACATAATGGTCCGCTGCAGTAGGATTTTTATGGGCGGCGGGCGGCACACATGGCTTGCTGGTTAACTTTCAAAATACATAGTGGCCTGTTGTAGTTGTATTTTTGTGGGTGACCGACAGCCCACGTGGCACTGCGAATGTTAAATATGAAAACTGTATTTTACAGTCGCCTGCTATAAAAACACGTACCGATATTCATAATTAGTTTATTATATTATTATTCATTGAAATCATAAATTACAGCACAAATGGCAATCTACATTGGCAAATATATGAAACAACTGTTCAACAATCGTTTACGGACGCAATTTGGTTCTAGTTTCGATTTATCGTGTGCAAATATTTATTAATGCAGGCAGCTGTCTATAGCATGCATTTCTATATTTCTCCTCTCTGTACACTTTGGATATTGTAATAATTAATGCGCCATCCGTCGACGCTTTAAGGTATAACTTTTATTACTAGTGGGTATCACTTCGCCATTCATTAGCAAAATATCGCACAGAATGTTTATGCGATTATTAATGAAGTCAAAAGTTTAAACAATTTTTTTTTATATTGTATATTAAAGCATATTCCTCAGCTTATATCCGATAATACATTTTAGGGTAATCAATAGATACTGATAGTGTTTTCTTTCAAGCGTGAAATTATGGACATGAGCAATTATTACACATGGTTGGCAAGGTTTCATCGACAAGGAAATATATTTATACACGGAAAAGTACGCTAAACTATTGCAGAAGTCGTTTTAGTAAAAATGTGTAAAGGGGTACACATGGGTTTAAACAGCTAAGCGAAAATGCACTAATAGTAGTACAAATTTAACAGTTTGTATGAATATTCAACGAACAGAATAAAATAAATAAGATAAAAATAAAATCGGCTTTATTTTTATTTTGTTTTAAGAGTTTGAGTTTTTTTTAAATTTAATAAATTAAATAAAAAACGTGTGAATAGGGTTTATGACTCAGTATCTTAGGAGTACTCGTATCGTATGCATATTACATAATCCTCGCTGTTATTCTGCCCGTCTTAAATTGGGATACATTAGGTACAAAAATCAAAATTCAAATAATTGTAGATCAATTTGAGTAATAAATAATTTAAATTGCATTATACAAACATACACAAATTCACAGAACAGATATTTAAACACAAGCTACTTCGTCAAGCCTGTGTTTATATTTCGCCCTGCGTATCTTTTCTTGCAAAGCTCTCATTATTTTGTAAAGTCATGTATGTCACAGATGTCACAATTTCTATCATTGCATTTTAAACTTATTTATCCTTAAAAGTGTTTTGACACTTAAAGTAAAGTGTATAGGTATTTAAAATTGATTGGGCCAGGGGCTTTTGAAACAACGCAAGTAATCCGGAAGTTTAAAATCAGTTACGGAGTGGTGTTATTTCTTTCAGGCTTGTATTACGGAGTCAGTACGTGTCTCGTATCGTTTTCAGCATCTCTCTCCGTGGTCACGCTCAATATATCTTACAGGCGAGTTTTATTTCTATTAAACTTTAGCAATACAAATTGCTTTACACATTTTTCATTTAGATATCATTTATTTTACATTGTGTTCATTCGCAAACTATATCACGATGTTTTACTGCCACGATGTTCAGTTATTTTTGTGAAATTACTCCACTAGTTTGTTACAAAATTATTAATACAAAGATGTATCAAACACTAAGAGCGCCTTCAAATTAGACGCTTATAGACGCAGTGGCGCCACTGTGGCGCTGCAGCTGCGTCACTACCAATTGTTATACTTCTACTCAATATTCTTCTACTTCTACTGTAATATTTAGAAGCGCAGCTGCAGCGCCCCAGTCGCGCCACACGCGTGTCACTTTTTATGCACGCCTTCCACTGCGAGCGGGAAATAGGTAGGCGGGACGGAGGTAGGCAGAGTCAAAATAGTTTTTGCCTTCCACTAAGAAATAGTTTTTCTAGAAAGGGGTGTAGGCCTTCCATTGGCAGCGAGAAATTGCGAGCGGAAACTAGTCGGGAAATGAGCGGAGGCAGAAGAGCGAGGCGTCGCGGACGATGTCGGGCGCAGTGTTCGTCAGACCTTTGTGGATGTGTAGTGTAGACTAGATATTGTATGAACATTAGCAGTGGCGCGACTACCGTTCCACATAGCGTCTCTGCAGTGCTTTTAAAAGTGTCTATTTTGAAGGCGCCCTAAAAAGTTCCTTCGATCCGTAGTTTCGAACGAGCGCCTTCAGCATACCGTGCTTAATGCTTTCCCAACTAAACTACGGAACGAACCAACAGACCTTATGATTTTTTCTAAGTTCTGTCCCACTTTTATCGGTGAGCGATATATTTATAGGTGAGCGACTAAGGAGTGGAATTCTCTGCATGCGGACTTATTTCCCGAACGCTATTACTTAGACCTTTTTAGGGCGAGAGTGAATCGCCACTTTCCATCAGGTGAGACGGAGTTGAAATGCGCAAAAAAGGGTCTTTGTTTTTTATTTTTAACGACTTTTTAAGTAGCGCCATCTGTGAGAAGTCTCTGAAAGTATTTCTTCAAGTGTTCATTATTTCGCACCCCTCATGGAGGAACCTCTCCAATTCTTGTAATTTTATCGACAATATTAGTCGATAGAGTTACAGGGATTGGAGAGGATTTGGGTTATATTTTTCTGTACGTAGGTCACTCAATAAGTTTTGAGATAAAGAAAAAATATCAAACATATTAATATAATTTATTTTACATTTTTTCAAAATACTCGCCATCATTATCTACACAAAGTTTCATTCGTCTAAACCAACTCTGAAAACACTTTTGCCAGTCTTGATCCGTCAGCATTGAAATTGCCATTTCGTAGGCAGCCACTGCTTCTTCGACACTCAAAAAAATTTTTCCTTTCATTTTATCCTTCACTGTTGGGAACAAAAAGAAATCGCAGGGAGCCAAATCAGGGCTGTACGGCGGGTGATTTAAGGTTTCTATACCAGATTCCTCAATAAACGCCTTTGTTCTGAGGGACGTATGTGAAGAGGCGTTATCGTGATGTAGCATGATTCCCCGAAGCCCGGTCTTTGGTCTCCTCTCCCGCACAGCTTGGAAAACTTTTGGCAATGCTACTGTTGTGTACCATTCTGAATTAACAGACCTACTATTTCTTAACATTCATGTCGACAAATGTCCGCTCAGAGAAAGAAAACTAGCTACCATTTTTTTGCCGACGTTTCGAGGTCTTTGCAACTTTGTTGGCAATTGTCCCTCTGCGAAGACCCACACCGACGACTGCTTTTTGCTTTCTGGATCATATTGATAGATCCATGTTTCATCACCAGTAACAATTTCTGAAACACGTCTCGATGTCCCGTTTTCGAAACGTATAAGTATTTCTCGGCACCAATCCACGCCAGCCTGTTTTTCAGTACCGGGGAGCAATCGTGGGATCCATCGACAACAACGCTTCCTCACTCCAAGACGTTGATGCAGGATAGTATTGACGCTTCCCAAACTAATGCCTAGGATCTTCTTAATGTTCGTGTACGTGATTCGTGGGTCTTCTCGCACCAACATTTCAGATGTCCACACATTTTCTGCAGTAACTGCTGTTTCCGGGCGTCCGCCTCTTAGGTCATCTTCAAGGTTAGTTTTGCCTCTTTTAAATTCCTTAAATCACCTAAAAACTGTTGCACGAGAAGGAGCAGAGTCCTCTAATGCTGACTGCAAACGTTCCAAACTCAATTGTTCAGTTAAACCATATTTAAAATCATAGAAGATCATAGCACGCAAATTAAGATCCATTATTGCAAAGAAAAAGCGCGGGAAGCGTTGTAGTAAAATGACTAACAATGTCATTTTTTTTTAAATTTAGCTAAATTGCTTTTGGTGATATATTTTTAAATAAATTTGCTTTTTAAAAACATATAATACGGGTGCGTCCCATTTTTAAATTTCGAGCATCTCAAAACTTATTGAGTGCCCTACGTATCATAAGATAGGAGCAATAAACATTTTTGGCGTAAGTCCACTTATGCCATTCTTCCCTGAGGGGTGCAATGTAGTGAAATACATAACTTTATACCGGTCCTTGACATAATTCATGACAGTATGAAAATTCCACAGGATTCTCATTTCATTTTAAGTTGTTTCGTTTAATTTTTCATTTAAATTAGGTGTGTAATCTAATCTTATTTTATATGTACTCTGCCTAATAATTTATGCGTTCAAAAAAGGACAAACCGTGGGAACAAATTTATTTAATTAATTACCCAATTACTGTCATACTCCCATACTATTTGCATTAACTTCATAACGCTACAAATTAGAGCACTCACAAATATTACCATTATTATTTTTAATTGTATTTGTTTTTAATTAAGTGATATAACGATATTGTTTTCAGAATTTCATTTCTAAACATAAATATTACACAATTATTTTCATAAAAGCTTCCTTGGAGGGTTCATAATCAAATTTTTATTATCATTAGCTTTATTAAATAAAATATACCTAATTATAAATGCGTCTTGTCAAACATTTTTGTATATTTTTACTTATAATTCACTTTGTTTACTACTTTGAATGCCACATTTCAGCCTTTTATCGCCATGTTACTAACTGAAGCTAAATTCTTTAGTTTTATTTCAAAACGTTGACTCAGCACTTTGAATGCATTTGTTATCGCATTTCAAAATGATTTATCTATTAAACTCGATCGTTATGTTTGTAGCGATTATTTAAAGTTCGTACGCTAATGCCGAAAATACTGTATATATATAATAAATCGCGTATATATTTGTTTATTCAAACAAACCATAGGTACCGGCCCTTTATACTGGTTTAGCCGTGTCCAAAGGACCTGTAAACGGCCCGAATCGTTGGTTTGTTAAAAAAAAATAGTTAAAATGGTTGCAATTCCTAAACTAAATACTAGTTATTTTAAAATATACGAGCCCATAAAATACATGATAATCATTAAATCATGAACCTTAATATTTTCGAATAAGATTTATTACTGTAAGAAATATAAAAGTCACCAAAAACATGGGTGAGATAGTCGAGTCAAGGCGCAAATTGCCTACTCTCAGTAATGTTGTCTCCGTCCATTTGTCGTCGCGCGCGTCCTACAATAGATTTCCTTTGAGAGTCACAGATAAAATCAAACGGCGTTGAAATTATATGAAACACTCTACATTTAGGCGTTGTTGTATAATTTTGCTTACTGCCCTTTATCCTGTATACTGTGGTTTCATACGACTGATGTATTGATATTTTGTTAATCAGAACGAACCTTGAAAATTAGTCTTGGTTCCAATTTAATGTCGTGATAAATATCAAACGCTACTCTGCAAAGATTTCGTCATGAATTTGGTTAGTGTTTTTTTATTTTTGCATTTTGCTGATTTCATGTTTTTAGTTTTATTTTGAACTTATTACTTATTTTTTACATTAGACACGCACTGGTGACAGATTATATTTTATTAGGTTTTATATAATGTAATTGTTATTATAAAAAATCCTATTAATCGAAGGTGTACACGTAGGTGTTGTGTAAATAAGGTAGAACCATAAATTACTGAAACCGATTTCCATCATTTCGAAAGTCATTAACGTGATAGGAATAAGCTTTTCATTGAGTTCACCAATTCCGATCAAAATTTGCTTCAGCGCTATACGGTTTAGGGCTCAGTTCTGCGGTCACTGACAAGTGTATGTGAACTGATGGTGTTCCTCGTAGAGGAGTGAGAGGGCAGCCGGTGCCGGCCGTTCTGCGCGACCTCGTACTGCAGCGGCTCGCCCGCCTGCTCTTCATCAACTTTGATACTGACTCACCAAAGGTATGGCATTATTTTTATTTTATTTATTTTATAATATCAAGTGACGGGACGAACAAGTCATGCGCCTGATGGTAACAGTTGCAGTGCCACTTTGAGCTAAAGCTCTAGATTTAAAAATCGCAAAGATTTTAGGGGCACTGCCACTGCGCCCATCACCCTGAGACAAAAGTTGACAAGTCCCATGTATCCGTAATTTCACCAGCACCCTTACTCTTCAAAACCGAAGCACAGTATTGCTCATATTTATTACTGATTGGCGATAGAAATAGGTAAGGTGGCAGTACTTCCCTGGACGAACTCTTTCACAAGGAGCTCCACTGCCACTAAAATTTTCTACATCACTCATGTAACTAACATTAGTGTTATAAGTATCTGCTGCTGGATTGTTGTTGTTGTGTTATATTGCAGCACATATTATTGCTACATAATTAATTTCATTGCACATGGGCACGCGAGCATATACACTCATATATACATGCGTGCACGCGAGCTCCTGTATATGTGAATGCGTCTGTCTGTATTAGAAACTGTTGGAAGGAAACAAGCAAGTGGTTTTCTTCTTACGCAATTATTAATACGTATATTAAGCCAGATGTCACTGGTGTCGGGTCAAATTGTCTGATCATATTTTTCAGGAGCACTGAAGAACTTATCGCATGTATGTAACTTGACGAAATCGGACAATTCTCGGGAAGTTAAATTTCGTTTAGTATTTACCCTGCGGGCCCGAATTTCACCATAGTTTTTTCGCACTGAATTCTTTCTAAATGCAATATAAGGATGACAAGAACATTACGTGCCCACGTATATGAAAATTTGTAGCTGAGTTCCGGAAATTCTCGAAGTGCTCGTGCTATAGGCTTCGGAAATGTGGATTACGAGAACAATTCGAATTTTGTAAGCAGTCATAAATTATGAATCGAATAATATCGTTTATTAAGTAAGTATTCAAAATTGGTAGATATTTACATATGTAACTAAGGACAGTTATTAATATAGTCCGTAAGAACAGCCAATTTATGAAATATTTGAGATAATTGCAAAGCCATTTCGAGATAAGAAAATATGGAAATTTGTTGAAAAAACTCAGATATGGATGAACTTAATTTTAAATTCGCCGGCAAATTTTCGACTTTGATTGGTTAATTTGCATTCGGTATCATTGAATTATGTTAAAAGTTTTCCGTTTCTTTGAGAAATGTTTTGACACTTATTCGTATTTTATATTATTACACGATTAGATGTTTAGTTCCTTTTATAATTTATAAATGACGGGATGAATTCATATTTCTCAACGTAAATATGTTACGTATTCGTATACCAATGCATACTTGTAGGTATACAGTAACTATCAGTTTCTGTACAAGTATGTGTGAACATGCATGTTTGAAGATAAACATGTTTATCGTTCGTAGTAAACAAAGTAGGGATATAAAATCCTTAAAAATGTACGATCGCCGCTTTATTATGCCAATTACCCTCAGATGGTGACGTCTTCATAATATTTTCATAAACAACCGCCTCTGGTTAGGGACGAATATGATTTATTGCGGCACTTTCTAAAAATAATAAGACATTTTGTTAAATTGTCAGAAGCAAGAAAAAAAACTTGTTTCCGTTAAAGCATTATACTTACCCAAGGTCTCTCTAATAATATCTTTTTTCATCACACTTGCTCGTAAATGGTACGATTGCATAGTGGCTAACTTGACTATAATACCCCAAATAAAACCCACGGATCTTTTTTTTCCATTACAGACATCGTCTGTAAGGAGCTTTTTAAATTTGTACCATGACATACTTTCTTCCATAGGTCAGGTTTAAGTTCAAGCAAGGTGGTTACTAAGTTCAATATTAAAACATTCGTTTCAAATTTTATCTAAACGGAACTTACATTGCAATTCAGCCACATACTACTTAAATACTTAGTATTAAGAATTTCTTATTTGTTTTTGATTAATTGATGATGTTGTTTCTTAATTGATTTTGATTATTTTCTGTATAAAACTTTTCCAAATTTTTTTTACAATCCACCTGTGGCCATGACCATTGCTGTACGCGTGTTTGCTTTTTATAACTTTTAGTTCGAGTTGTATTAACTATGGAAGAATTTAAAAAAAATGAAAATAAACCCGCCATTTCATTTGCCAAATCCATTGTTTTGTTGTGAACCATAATTTATGTTGTATTTTTTCCTTTCAAATGTGATGAAAAACATTGTATATATCACAGACGGCAAAAAATACAAACCTCGAGTTACTAAAGCCCTCAGCCCTTGGCTTCGGGCTTCTAATAGACCCTCGTTAGTAATTTATTATTTACCATCCTTATTACACAATTTACTATTATCACATTGATGGAATACACTATAATGCTTGACATCGTGGTGAAAGAATTTGCCAATTGGCGTGAGATACTCGCCGGTTGTTGCCTAGGGCGCGTCAGATGTATAGGAAAGGAATGGTATGTCGTGCGGGTCGTCGTGAATGTTGTCGTGAGGCTCCTTTCGTGCAGCCACTACTATACCTACTATTAACAATATATGAAACCAATATATACATACAGTTCAGGAGACCGGATCTAAAATTTTCAATTCCGTATTCTGTACTAGACTAGAGCAGTCTACACACAGCTCAGTCATTAAATATATTTGTATGAAATGTGTAACGTAAAAGCACCCATTCGTTTCATTATGACTGTTTTGTACCAGGGTGACAACAGCGGTGTGGTAGCCGGTGTGCAGGTGAACCCGCGCACTGGTTCGCGACTCAAGGCAGAGGCGCGCTGCGACGGCGCGCCTCTCCCTCCGGCTTCGCCGCGCTTCGCCCGACACAACCACAATCATCTTGGTAAGTTACCGAAACGTAATTGTTTTAGTTGGTAACATCACTGTCTCGGGGGCTGTTATATTTAATGTGATTGTCAACATTACTTTGCAACTATGTAATTACTAATACAAGACCGAAAACTAAGAAAAATTCCTTCTATTCGATTGGATGCGAACCATTGCCTTCAGCATACCGTGGCAGACGCTTTCCCAACTGAGCTACGGCTAATTTTTAATAACGTATTGCCGTAGCGTCATATGTGAAAAATGTATGAAAGTTTTTTTCACACAGCCAAGTGCCTTGAAAGCTACCAGTGGCTAATTTATTGTAATATTAAGTTTATTGAATATCACGATTTTTTTATAATACTTAGTGACAGAACGCACAAGTCGTGCGCCTGGCAGTAGGCGTCACGCCTGTCCATAACAGTTGCAGTGCCGCTCAAAGGGCACTTCCACTGAGCCCGTCATCCTGAAACATAACTTGAAAAGTCTCATGTGTCTGTAATTTCACTAGCATCCTTACCCTTCAAATCCGAAACGCAGTAATACTCGCATTACTGCTTGGCCGCAGAAATGGGTAAGGTGGCAGTACAATCCTGGACGAACTCTTTCACAAGTAGCCTCTACTGCTACCTGTTTTACTACCATGATATTCATTTACTTTTTGCGTATCTATAATAATCTGAACTATATACAAATCTGAATTTATTCACTTCTTTTGAGAATATATGAGACCATCGGCCGAGGTATGTTTATCAAATAGGCTTCAAGAAGAGGTTATGCAACTTGCATCTTAAAAATGCACACACATAATGGTCGACTCATAAGTTCTCTTCTGAAACATACTTTCGCTGGCAGTTGGCACGCTTGGCAAGCCTGGTAGTCTCTCAGAGCTCTCCATAATTTCAAGTACCCTCGCATAAAACATTGTTGTATAAGATTGCAGGTAACATATTAACATCCACTAATGTAATGTTCAGATATTAACTGCGAATTTCAGTTACAATATTTCATCTTCTTGACAAAATAATTCGTCTTTGCAACGTGAATTATTTTAGTATAAATCTAAAAAGTTTTTTACCGTCCGGAACGTATGCCTTTGGTGTTCGGAATTAAATTTAGAAAAACCTTTTTTTTTTTGCAATTTTTGCTAAAAGCGAAATTTATTTAGTACAACAAAAATTGTTACTTCATATATTAATTTTTGTTGTTTTACTCAAGTTATTTCCAGCTTTGCAGTTTACTTATTCTGCCTAATTTTATTTCCCGTGAGTATACAAGATTACCTATTAAATACTAACAATCTCGCAGGACTATCGAGTATAACTAACATCACTTTGTTCCATGACTTTGCTGTAACTCTGTTTTTTGCTATTTGGCTGAATACCGAATAGCTAAAAACATAAGGAAGAAATAAGAAAAATCACAGTAAATTATCAGATAATTTTTATTAATGTTGAACATACATTGCAAATCCGCGAACGCGCAATTTTTCGCTTCTTTATCTAAAATGAACTTAACTAGGAAATGTAACATAACTAAGTTATTTTTCTAAGAGATTAAAAAAGGTAATATAGGAAATGAATACTACCTACTTATTATGTAGGTCACTTTAGGCTAGATAAACGCTAACAAAATCGTTTATTTTATATCTAATATTTTGTTTTATATTTTTGATGTGTAACTAGTAACGGTTGAGTATTCAGCATAAAAGTTTGGTAATTGTAAGATTTAAGAGGGAGATCATTATTCACTCACCATGTATTTACTTATATACTTTACTTATTATTCCAAACACTGTTTATAAAGCTGGCATATTCGTTTCTTACAGATACGATCATTGTTACGAAATAATAATACAATAATGTGCCAGACAACTACTCCTAGTCTAGCCTAGTCTCAAATTCCCTGGAATTCTAGAGCAACGGAATTCACACTTCCTACACTAGGGAAACCCTGTAACGAGGATGCCATGGATACACACATAGACAACCACAAATTACATCCAAACTTAAGAGAGTAATAAATGTAGGCTATACAAATATTTCTCCCGGCCCGGGAATCGAACCCGGGACCTCTGCGTGGCAGTCCAGTATAGTAACCGCCACAGAGGCAGTTTCTTTGCTATACTCATAGGTGTGCTTATGTTTTTCGGTGGCACAGCGATTAGAAGGTAATATGGGTGCTTGATGAAGAGGTTCCGGGTTCGAGATACAACAACGCTATAAATATCTCATTTCCATTACATCGGGAAGTATGTCTTACATTTTTAACTATATGAGATATTGTACTCGTAATAGAGCCTTCTTATACTACCTACGTACGGAGTTCGGAGTACGGGTTCGCCCTCCGCTGGACCTACGGCCTACGGCCTGAGCTCTTATGATTTTATTTTAAAAAATGAAAATAGCTCTAATGGCGGCCATATTTAAAAACTACAGAAATATATTTTGACCACAAATTACTGTCAAGCAGTCTTAGAAATCTTTTCGTGCCAATTTGAAGCCCGAGCAAAGCAAGTTTTTTCAACAGTTATATACAGAAAAAGTGAGCGCTTATATAGCGGTTATATCGAAAATCAGCGGAAACGAAATTTCTACGCCAAGTTATGATTTTGAAGATATATTTTCGTCGGATAGAAAGAACATTTTTTGTCTGCTGCCAAAAACGCTTGCATGGCAGCCATGTCGAAAAATGGCGAAAAATAAATGTTGACCTCAAATTATTATCAAGCACTCCTAGAGACTTCCACATGCCAATTTTCAAAGGGATCTGGTGTAGGTCAATGGGATCAGAGCAATTTTTTTTTCTGTCGCCAACGAACGCTTGTATATTGAAAATATTGTAAATATATGTATATTGAAAAATGGCGAAAAACTAATGTTGATCACAAATTATTATCAAGCATTCCTACAAGCCTCCACATGCCAAGTTTCAGCTAAATCAGGCTAAGTATTTTTCGGCAGCTATTTTTATAGAAAAAAAAACGCTTATGTGACAGCCTATTACAAAAATGATGAAAAAAACGTTTGACCACAAATTATGATTAAAGACTCCTAAAGACCTCCGCATGTCAATTTTCAGCCGGATCGAAGCAAGTTTTTCTTCGGCCGCCTTTTACATTCACCATCTTGATTTTTCTTTTGTCACAGGCCGTTAACCACTATTTACCCTCTACGACATTCCTTCGAGCATTTTCTACCTATCTCTAATAAAATACGGTGACATTTGTATGGCGGCCATCTTGTTTATTTGAATGTATTTTTTTACTTTCGGCAGGAATAGGCCGAGGTCATAAAAGTGCACAAATACCACGTATTAGTTTTTGCAGGCCGTTGATCTTTTATATTTTCCACATTCAGGTTTTTTCATATTTGATTGTTTGCTTTGTAGCCTATCCGCGTATGACGGTTTAAATATCTTTTTCAATCATATCGGGAAGTATGCGTTATATTATTCTAATTTTCAGGATTTGTAGCTTTATATCCATATTAAATTTGTTATAGGCCCAATAATAGATGTTGCAGTTTATTTGTTCTTTAAGAATATATTGGATCCTGAAACGAAATGTCCTCGAAATAAATTACACTGTGAAGCTGCCTCCGGGCAGATAAACGACGCTCTGTACCATAGACAGTTGCGATATTTTCTTTTATGTGACGATATGGTAAGTATCGTGTTCTCTAAAAGTGGAAATTTTTCAGAAAGGCCATGGTTCCGACTCACCAGTTTTGTATTTTATTGTAACTTTTCCAAAATATTTTAGATCAAGTTTTTTGAGTATTACAAAATATTTGACGCAATTAGTATTTGTTTTATTATCAATTTGATGTATTTCTTGAAGAATTGAAGTCCTCTATAGGCGCGCAAAAATTAAGGGCGAGTAGAGTGAGCTCCAGACAATTTAGAGAATTTCAAAATAATGGTGACAGAGACCATTATAACACAAAAATGTCCTGTACAACAGATATAATCGCAGCCTTTTAAGACCCTTTCCCAGTACAATGGGAAAAGCGCTAAACGACCATTGTAAATTAAAATGTACTTAACAATTATCCTGTTTTTTGTACATAAGTTCTTTGGTACTAAACATAAAGCTAACTATAATATAATAACATGCTTCAGACCCGCGCAAGTATGCCCTCAGTTTTGTATGAAACACGTATACACGTACACTAGATACCCTATGGTCATATAAAATGTATAACGCTAAATTTGAATGCGATATTTTCACAATAATGTACAGTGAGCGTTTACGTGATCATAAGAATATGAATCACTTCACATATAAATGTACATTTTGATGTACACGGGGCTTTAGGAGGATATGTCCACAAAGATAGATATTATATTCACCTAGTTAACACAAGCTAGCCAACACAAGCGGCTGTGTCGATGTAGTTGCGTGTTTGCATCGATGCAGTCGCGTGTTTTTGTATCGCTGCTAATATTAGCCGTGTGTAACCACTCTGAAAGTTGAATATGTTTTATTGTTTACTGTTATTAATATTTATTTAAGATTCTTGGGTCTCCTATTATTAATATTATTTATGTTTGTTTGGGTTTGAGTCAGTTTTTGGGTTCATGGACCGTCACTGGTTCTATTCACAAATTCCAAAATAAATAACTGTCCGTTCTTAAATTTGGGCGAAAAACACGAATGTCTTTTTGTTTTTCCTAATAAAGAAAGCTTATAATCTTATAGTAAAAGGTCCAACCTTTTGCGGTTAACGGGCACTACAAGATTCGTCATATCACTGCACTGGATAAGTGAAGCCACGCCACGTCGCGGGTTCGCGAAACTGTAAAAAAAAATAGTCAACTTCTTTATCAGCTGATCGCTACAAGAAGGCAAGTTTTTTAAAGTAGTTGAATTGTGTAGGTAGGTACACACCCAGTATTTACCTGTTTACACCTATGCCTTACATATTTAATGCGAGGATTACTGCGTTCTGGTTTTGAAGGGTAAGGGCGCTGGTACAGGCACATGGGACTTATTAACTTATATTGGACCGTTAA